CTGCGGCGAGGGGAGGGCGCCGGCAGGGTGCCCTCCCTGGGCACACGCACTCAGTGTCCATGGCCCCAGGTGGGCATGAGCTGGGGGGCCTTGGTGTGACCGAGGCCCGGGGCAGCCGGCTTGAGCTCCCCCAGCCACAGACCTGTCCCTCAGTCAGAGCCGCCCCCCAGCCTCCGTCTCTGGGGAAAGAGGGGCCAGGGGTCGGCGTCCCCTCTGCACCCAGGCCGCATCCCTCCCTGTGGGGTCCCAGGACGCCAGTGGTGACCCTGCCAAGGGCTCTGGGTCCCAGTGGTACAGCAGGGCATGTGGGACCCCAGCAGGACCCCTCTCCAGCCCGACCTCGTCTCGGAGGAGCTCAGGTCTGGGCCGCAGGCGTCCACATCCATCTGTGGAAGCGCCACAGGAACCCGCGAGCCTGATTCCTCTCCACCCCACCCCCACCCCCACCGAGCACGCACGCACGCACACACACACACGCATACAGCACGCACACACACATGAGCACGCACAGCACACACACAAGCACATGAGCGCACACACGAGCACGCACACGAGCATGTACACACACACGCGCGTGCACACACACACACGCAGCTCACGCCCCGCCGCCCCCGGCGCTGTCTCGGGGATGGGAGGGCCCCAGCCCTTCCCGCTGGTTGTCTCATTCTTTCTTTCCCTTTTTTCGTCAAAAGCCTTCGGTGCCCCAAGGATGAGCCACAGGAAATGACACACATATTTTTACAGACACGATGCCCCTCCCCACTGCTGTGAGGTCTGGAACGTATTACCCGCGTCTGCCCCCAATTAGAGGAGAGGAGATCCCGGGCCCGGGTGGGGCCACGCCAGCTGCTCCGTGGGCCTCCCGGCCTGTGGCCCGCAGCGTACCTGTGTGTGCATGTGTGCATGTGTGCGTGCATGTATGCACACGTGTGCGCTCGCCAGCTGTGCCTGTGCTCATGGTGGGATGTGAGAGGGTCCCCAGGGGCTGGGTCTTTGTGACAAGGTTCCCTGGGGGGTGTCCTCTGTCCCAGAGTCCCCATCGGGGCCCTGGAAGGCCCCAGGCCTGGGACCCCCCGTCCCAGCTCAGGCTCGTCCTAGCTGTCAGCCCAAGTGGGGCGTTGTGCTCAGTGGTCTGGTTCCTGGGGTGCGGGGTGTGGGGTGCTGGGTGTGGCCTCCCAGGCCTGGAGGACGTCCTCCCGCCTCAGGGGGCAGCTCCCACCAGCCGGGCAGGTGTGGGTGCACAGGGCTCTGCAGCGCCCTCACGGATGGGGTGGGGATTAAGGTGCCCTGGCTCTTCCCTGAGGCCCTCCTGCAGCCAAGCCCTGGGGCCACTGCTGCCCAGCACCCTTTCCTCCCCTGGGGGGGGACTCTGCGGGTGGCCCAGGGCCCAGGGATCCAGGTGGCTGGAGGGAGGGCAGAGCCAGCCGGTCACCTGCTCCTGGTCCCTCGCCAGGGTTCTGGGTGCCCAGCCTAACTCTCTGGCAGCCTCCCCGCCCCAGGCCCTGCCAGCTGAGCCCTCCCAGAGGCACACCCCTCCCCTGTGCTCCAGGTCCCTGTCCCCTGCCCACTCCTGTGACTACCCGGAGTACCCTGCTATGTCCAGCAGCCCCGCTGGGCCAGGGGGCAGGTGCCAAGGGTGGGGGCCCGAGGGGAGGCGGGCAGATCCATGTGGAGGTGGCTGAGGCCCTTCCTCCCCCCACAGACTGCCCGGCGGGGACATTCGGCGTGAACTGCTCAAGATCCTGCTCGTGCGGGGGGGCCCCCTGTGATGGGGTCACGGGGCAGTGCCTGTGCCCCCCTGGGCGGACGGGGGATGACTGTGGGGCAGGTGAGTGGCTTGCACGTCTGTGGCCCCCGGGCAGATCCATGTGGAGGTGGCTGAGGCCCTTCCTCCCCCCACAGACTGCCCGGCGGGGACATTCGGCGTGAACTGCTCAAGATCCTGCTCGTGCGGGGGGGCCCCCTGTGATGGGGTCACGGGGCAGTGCCTGTGCCCCCCTGGGCGGACGGGGGATGACTGTGGGGCAGGTGAGTGGCTTGCACGTCTGTGGCCCCCC